GCCGCCGACGGGCGGCTGGCGGCCCAGCCTGCGGCTGGCCACGCTGCTCATGTCCATCCGGCTGCTGCTGGCCGAGCCGAACCCGGACGACCCGCTCATGCCCGACGTGGTGAGGACGGCGGCAGGGGCAACAGGCAGCGCGGGGGTGGAGCGTGGGTGTGGGCTCCGGGACCGGGTGGTAATGGTGGGGTGAGGTGGGGTGAGGTAGAGTTTGAGTTGAGTGAGAGTTTGAGTAGCAGGGATGGTCCGTAGATCGCGCGTGATAGGTAAGGTGGTCTCCCTGGGTGGGATGGTCCTGGGGATGGCGTGAGCTTGCTTTGTCACCATCACAGGGTGTGATGTGAGATAGTCCCCTGCACCAGGTTTTCAATCCAAAGTTGCCCAAGCCATGCTCTTACATCTCCTATATCTTCCATGCTCGTATATCTTGACCACTCGGTGCCATGCAAGAACCTTAGCATTTGAGAAGTTCCCACTGCAATGAAAAATGCAGGGTTCGACTGATGATGACGATGCTCTCTCCATCTGGGTTCTTTAGCGACCTGGCTGTCCAAGCGCTGTCGCGGGACGCTGTGCTTGCCTTCAGTCGCCTCCTTCCGGACACCGGGCCGACGTATCAGCGTGCTGCCTACTTCAGTGCGGTACTATATATATATATATATATATATATATATATATATATATATATATATATATATATATATATATATACGTGTATATACCATAATAACGTGAATCAATTCTTGCTATATAACCATACATACATGCATACATATATATATATTATATATATATATATATATATATATATATATATATATATATATATATATATATATATGTATGCATGTATGTATGGGTATATAGCAAGAATTGATTCACCGTTATTATAGCGTCATGGACGCTTGGGTAATTTTGAAATAGCCTGCACGTCTTCGCGGGCGTGTTAGATCAGAAACTGGAGGATTTTTAAGTCTCACGAAACGGGGGTGTGAACTGCCACAAATGATCTTCAAGATGGCTATTTCAGCTCTAAGCCCTATACAAAGCTGGAACGCTCCCTTTAGAAGGAAATCAAAAGTTAAAACGGACCCTGTTTTCAAATCTGGTGCCCGCTCCAATATATTAAATGTGACCATTGCCTTTACGACAGTTTTGATAAACCAAACATAAAAAGCTAGCCAGTCAGTTTGCTGAGGTGTGCCAATGGTACCATACAGAAACTTCCGTATTGCACGACCTCGTATATGTAAACGGATGAAAAATTCCACCTCCACCCTGGTTGGGAGAACGTGCTCCAACCCTGAATCCCGAACTTGAAGTTCACACTCTTCTCCAGCATGTCGGAGTCCGCAGCGCCGTCTCGCGGTGGTGTCAGATGACGTTAGTCTGTCACCCGGCAGGCCCAGGAGTACCGGCTCCAGTGTGTCGGAGTCCGCAGCGCCGTCTCGCGGCGGTGTCAGATGACGTTAGTCTGTCACCCGGCAGGCCCAGGAGTACCGGCTCCAGTGTGTCGGAGTCCGCAGCGCCGTCTCGTGGTGGTGTCAGATGACGTAAGTCTGTCACCCGCAGGCCCAGGAGTACCGGCTCCGGCGACCAGAGTACGAACGGAAGGCAGCCGAGATGACAGCAAAACATGCCATACCCAAGGTGAGACTGTGATACCTGCATGCTGCGCAGAGTACCGATGTGGGCTTTAGTCGTTCGAAATGAGTGCTAAGCTGTTGGTGTTTCTTTTGCACTGGGAAACGACGTTCACGAAAAGAGCGACAAGCGGTGTGATTTCTTTCCTTTTTGTAGATTTCAGGCGTTATAGCTAGCTCCCACCGTCTTGGGAAGTATATAATGCGATGTAAGACAGTCCAGGAAATGCAAAGACATTTCATAATCAGTCGAGATGCCAACTTACATTGCTGTCATCGTTTTTCTGCCTCACAATGAAACGATGAAAATGGAACGCGTATTGTGAAAAAGCTGATATGTGGATGAAAAGGGCAAAATGTTTAAACATTGCGTAATAATTCCGGACTAGTGCACGATTTCCAAAGTGTTTGCCAGCCCACTCTGCCAGAGCAAGCGTCTCTGAGTCGATGCCGGCATGAACGCTCCCACTTTTTTTTCACCAATGCATCGTGATACAACGGGGAAGCCCCGGTGTCTACCGAAGTCTCAGATGTCAGCCAGGTATTGGGAGTCGTTTGTACTGACAGGTCTGTTTCGTGCTCACAGCATTAGGTGTGCCAGCTACTGACCCTACCGCCCTCACGCGTTTCGGCACGTCGTGTACCGCTGTGCCAAGGATGACGAGAGAGTAGTCCGAATGGTCAGGAGAAGCTCTTTCGGGCGGGGTCACCGATGATCACAGTGTCGAGGTCGAGGTCAGGCCCGGCGCTCGCTGCGCTGTCCGTCCCTGACACCGTACCCTGTCGGGCGGGCGGGTCACGGCCGGACCCAAGGCAGGAGACTCGCCGGGGTGCGTCACGGACGGTCCATCAGGGTG